GCTTATATTCATATTGATTAATGAGTGTTGTCAGTTGGCACCTACGATACCTATACCTTACCTGTAGTAATAATAGATTTCTTTTCAAATGAAATGTTCAGTCTTTCCATTTACCTGTTTCTATATTTTACTATCGGTAATTAGGTATGTACCTGGTTATCATTATGATTTTCATAAAAATAAACAGATATTACATGGAATGTGAGTATAAACTATCTTTACATAATTTCAGAAATAATCTTTTTATAAATATAATACTAGTAATAAGTATTATTAACTAAGGTATCTCTATTTTTCTTTTGATAAATACCTATGGTCGCCTCTAATGCATTTATTAAGGTAAACAATCTTGGCACAACTTTTTAACAGAATCACCCATTTAATAATAAAATATTAACGAAGCCAATAAACTATTAAAATAAATCGTTATTATAGACTGAAACCTTTTGAATTTAGTTATCAGTTGAATTTTAATGCTGTTTCTTCAATAAAAAGGAGTGCCAAGTTGGATGAATAGACTGTAGTATCTAGTAACAGAACTTTATTTCTTTATTTTTTTAAACAGATTGTCCGTTTAATCATAGATTAATTGCTAATATGTTAAAAAAATAATAGAAAGATAATAGTGAAGGACATTCTTTTGGGCAAGCTAGGGCCGATTTCGTCGATGTCCTTTTACAGAGTTATCCGGAAATTTACCACTGTTGGTCATACGAGGGGTGCATGCCAATTTTTCCAGTGTGTGTTTATTACAAAAACTTCCATTCTTTATATCGGCGTGCAATTTCAAAGCAAGGAATCACCCTTTAATTTTTTTTAGGTTTTCAGAATCCTATGATCATCTTGGGCCGCTGCGGAGTGCATGCCATCAATTATTACAGCTTTAATTTGTTTAAACTTCCGTATACTATCACGGAAAAATACGAAAATCCACTACAAAAAGAAAAGCGCTTTACCATATGAAGAGGACGCGCGGGGGGACTAAAACCCCGACTATCATTGATATTTTAGGGTTAGTTATCAAGCCCTCAAAAGGCATGCACGACAAAATCGTGGAACGTCCTGTCACCAGCTCCCGGTCCGGTGTTGTTCGTCAGATCCCTCTAGACGTGTGTCTACCGAAGTCAAAATCATGGGCGAAGTGCTAATTAGTGAAGTAATAATTTTGACGACCTCCGTGGCCGAGTGCTTTGTACGCCGGGTTTCATGGTGTCGCCGACTCGAGAGGTCCCGGGTTCGAATCCCGGTGGGGGCAGATGTTTGTGTGATGAATACGAGCATTTGTACTCCAGTCATGGATGTTTAATATGTATTTCTATATAAATATACTTATATATGTACAGTACATGTATTCTATCCGTTAACCTAGCATCCCATATCACAAACCTTATAGTGCTTACTTTGGGGCTAGGGTAATTGGTGTGAGTGTTGGAAATATTTATTTATTATTATTAATTGACATTCTTGAAGAAGAAGAGGAGGATGTCGAGCTATTGTTGTTATATTATGAAAAAAGACAACCAATCGACCCTATCTTTAAAAGCAGAAATGAAGAAGGATACTACCAAATATTGATTCAAACGCATTTATATTGTGATCATTTTAGCTACTTCTTCCTCGCTTTTTCACGCTGAATTATTATTTGTAATCTTCATTACTCATATCATATATAATTGGATTTTGAAACACATTTATTAATATTTCGTCTTCCTCGGCCGAACAGTTTTCTCCTGCGTTCCTAGGCATGTTTGCGCCATGAAATCCTAGATGTTACCATATATAACATGTACTCTATGGATGTTACAGAGCGCTGAGCATGTCGAGACACACACGGTCGCGCGCGGCTCACGACATTCGTCGGCCACGTGCGTTTGTCGCTGGCCTAGTAAGCGGTACCATACCGAATTTGAATAGTTTGCAAACCGAAATGTCAATGTCAAATTTTGTATGGAAACTTGAACAGCAGCGGCACAAAGTACGTAACTAGAACAAAAATCAGTACCCGTAGCACGAACCATTAACGAATTCGAATAGTTTGCAAACCGAAATGTCATTGTCAAATTTTGTATGGAAATTTGAACAGCAGCGCCGCAACGGACGTAACGAGAAGTAAAAATCAGTACACATTTGACAATGACATTTCGGACTCGCAAACGATACGAATTCGATATTGGTTCGTGCTAGGATTCTTGTCGCGAGCGACCGACGACAGTCGTAGGCCGCGGCCGCGGCCGCGATCGATCGTGATGCACGGAATAGTACCTTAAGGACGTAGGCATCAAGCGAGAAAGGATTTTTTTAAATATTCTATTTAACTTGAGGATATTTCGCAAACAAATAATATGCTCGTACGATGCAACCATAGCGACCCGTCCCAGCTTCACACGGGTGCATTAAATACTATGGAATATGAATCAGAATCCGAAAAAAGAACATGAATAAATTAATACAGATTTTGAAAGTAGCCGGATTGAGTTTCTTATGTAATTCTTTTCCATTTCCTTTTGGAAGCCTCGTAGTCACGCCATGACATACAGACAAACTTTTTGACTCTTTTACGAATCACAACAGACTGTCAGACTTTTTGACTATTTCAAGAGGTTTTTACTCTTTGACAAATTACAACTGACTGACTTAGGTTTTAATCCTTTGACGGATCTAAACTGACTGACAGAGATTATTACTCTTTAATGGATCACAACAAACTAAAAGATTGTTTGATTATTTGCCAGATCACAAAAGACTGACAGACTTTTTTATTTTGGCAGATTACAATAGACAGACAGACTTTTTGACTATTTGCCAGATCACAACTGACTGACATAGTTTTTGATTTTTTGACGAATCACAGACTGACTGACAGCCAATGAATCAATATGTGCATTTCCCTTTTACATAACACAAGAAGTTTATAAAAGAAATAATGACTCGTCCCAGCTACGCACGGGTGTATAAACGGGATGTATTATGTAGACACGAATCGCATCCGGAAATAATAGGTATATATACGTAGCTACGATCTGGAAAAAATGGTTCCGAAATCAAGTCAAGTGGTTGAAATATAGAATTTTACCCCTGGTGATCCCGTGTCCGTGGAATTAACAGAACAAAAGTTGTACCTTATTCTTCTACAATTTCAAACATTAAAGATTTCATTTTAAAAATCAATTAAGTGTTTTAAGAAACAGGATTTGGCACCCGTAGTCTCATTCCCATAGAATTGTTGGGAAAAATGTTGTTTTATTGTAAAGGATTACAATAAAACAACATTAAAACAATATTAACGGTTATCGCAATCGCTTTCGATTTCATTTTGTTAATTCTCACCACCGAAGGTTTTCACGGTTAAACTTTACGGTATTTTTTTAAAATATTGTTATTAACAATGCAAAAGAAAAAAAAGAGCGCGGGGCATTTGAAAACCTTCGGCGGTCAAGAATAATATAATGAAATCGTACCCGATAACGATAGCCATAGCAATCCCGTTAGGTGATTGACACTCTGATTCGATTCATCTTTTAACTGAAATAAATTTTAACTCTTTAAGTTCTTGGACTGGTCTAACGTGGGTCTAAGCATAAATAGCGAAAAACTTACACACTTGACATAATAATGCTTGCGGCAACTGTTGAAGAGCTCACTGCAATGCTAGAAGAGTTACAGACCGCGTCACTAAGAATGAATACGAGCAAGACAAAAATAATGTTCGACAACATCAGCCAACAGAATATTACAGTACACGAGCAAACTTTAGGATTCGTCCCGGAGAAAGTATACTTGGCTCAGATTGTCACGATCGAAACAGATGGCCAGAGAGGGGAGATTAAGAGGAGAATCCAGCTAGGATGGGCAGCTTTTAATAAACTTGCCGAGGTGCTGAAGAGCAGACGCATCTTTCTTAAGAGACAGTTATATGAGCAGTGTATTCTTCCTGTGGTGAGCACGGTGCCGAGATCTGGACTCCTACGGTAAAGCTAATGCGCAAACTGCAGGTAACCCAGCGAGCGATGGAACGTGCAATGCTGAATATCTCGCTTGCGGATCGTATCCCTAACCTGGAAGAGAGCGCACTAAAATGGTGGCCAGGTTGAAATGGAGATGGCCTGATGGCTGGATGTGAAGATTTTGGTGGTATGCATTTATCAATATGACTTTGGAGAAGTACCTACAAAGGGTGCTCAAATTTCTCTCTTTCTCTTTCAGCATGTCTCAACCATCAACTCCTTGGGTGTAGGCCACCTTCAAATCACGCTACCTGCAGCGATATTGTGCGACCTGAAAGAAAATTTTCCCTGCTGTTCTTTTAAGGTCATCGCCGCAACGCATCTGAGTTCTCTTGGGGGACATTTTTGACCCTATGGTCGCCACTTAAACATAATGAAAGACCAAGACCCGATGGTTAAATGGAGATTGAAAAATAGTAAGAAAAGTTGAGCTTCGCAGACGAAGTCGTAGGGCACCCGCTACTAATATTTGAAATGTATATTGTTCTGCACACCTGAATTCCTGAAGTGATTTTAATAAATTTGTTATGAATTAAAATCCAGAATATAGGGTGTTCAGAAAACACCAGAAAGTTGAAAGACTTATGATGATTTTGTCATGAAAATAAAGCGTTTCTAACTTTAGGGGCGAAAATTTTTGAAAAGCCGATTATTAATATACAGAGACGAAGTTCAGACACCCGCTAGTACTTATAATCCATGTTTATAAATTTCTAAATGCTTACTTTTTAGCGAATTTGAAAATAAAGGACTCGAAGAAATCAACAATCTATAATGTCCTCAGTACTATTAGTCTAGTAGCGAAGTGTCTAAAGATTTTAAAACTTTCCAGCCACGCTAGCGAAGTGACTTCTTAGTGAATTTGTTGCGCTACGCTTATGTGACGCAGTAATGGCTGAAAGTGTATCATGACATCACTGGAACATACGTTTAGTGTACGATGTTTCCATAATAATTATGTTAAAGATACAAGGGCAAAAAGAAAGAAAAGTACAATGTTATACAAAGCGACTTTTTATCAATACAAAAATAACATCAATAAATAAATAATATAAAAGCACAATAATTACATATTGTATTCATTTACACGATGGATTCAATTCATCAAAAATTGTCTATCAAAAAAGAATGCCGCCACTGTAATATTTTTGTTGTTTGTTTTAAAATTTACTTATTATTAGAAATACTGATATTCCTGAAAACATTGTCTACGGTCATTTACAAAAAGAAGCATTTCAATGCACTTTTTACACATAATTTTTTGACAGACTTATTTTGTGTTAAATAGTTTTAATTACATAAGTACATTTTATGCCAAAACGTCTACTTAATATATATTTTAATGTATTGTACACATGGACTTATTCAGTAAAGTAACTTGTGCTTTGTTAATGTTCACAAAATTGAGCCAAGAGCTCGTTGTCCCGTATTAAAATTATAATATGGCAATGTTTATGGCAAAATGCGTTGTCAAAACGTTAGGTAGTTAAAGCTTTCCAATAGGTACATATTATAATTATAAATTTTGTTGAATCAAATTTCTACACAATGTAAGTTTTAACTTTTCTATCAATTGTGTTAAATGGAATTCTGTGAAATATTTTCGTTGCACTGGTTTTAATGTAAATTGTGGATTTGTGTGTTTAACATGCTTCTTCAATTAGTATTTGAATATATCAGTCGATTTCTGTTTGGGTGATAAATGAATAACTATTTGTCTACCGAAGTTAAGAATCTGTTAAAGAAAAATTCACTTCCACAGTCAATAGATCACGATCCACTAAATTCATACTATAGGAACCCAATCATCAGTACACGATCTCCAAAGTGATCCGCCCCCAGTAGCTCTAGACGCAATAATAAATTACTTACGACTGTTCATACGAAACGTCGTTACTCTTAAATTAGTTTTCTGTATCCGACATAAACTCCTATATTATAATTATATGTTACTGTTTGAGTACAATCACTAAGTAGGTACAGAGAAGAAGTAACTTTCATGCAAAAGAATAGAAGTAATTACAAGAATATTTAATTTATTAGAAATATATATCAAACAGATGTTATGATAGGAAAGTTCATGATAGACATATCGACAGATTACGCTATAGCGATTAATAAATGCATTATAAATTATTTTATCTATGTGTTAGTTTGAACATTGCGTCAAAATTTAAATAAAGACATAGCTTATGATTAACAATAAATAAAATCCTAAGGCACAGTTTTAGGTACCACGATCACAATTTCATCATTTCTAATGCTTACGACAGTAAGAAGAATATAGAATTACAACGGAATGTCTAGAACTCTAGTCACACCCAGTTATTACAAAAGAACGAATGGAGAAAATACTGTTACATATCAGGGAAAGCTCCTCAGATGAAAGACCATTCGGATTAGCTAATGCTTATAAATACCTAATTTATACAGTTACTTAAAAAACATAAGCGCATACATTTAAGTATTTCTGCATTGTGCAGAATAACAATACCGACACAATTTACAAATATTCATACTTCAACTAAATAATGTGCAGAACTTGCAAATATGGTCTTAAAACTACTTAATAAATAGATTTCGTGTTTAGTGTTAAATTGGGTATATCGTCGTCGACGCAATTCACTGAATCGTTATACTGAATAGTTCGAATGTCCGTCCGCCCGCAATATTTACACACATACTTGTTATATACACTTTTAACGACGTGCACGTCCCGCGCGCGTTAACAATCCGTTCACATATCAACGGTACTTGTAGGATGTAGGTAGAATGAGGTCGCCGAAAGAGTAGAGGGCGCTCGCGTACCAGTGTACGCCCCGCGGGAGTTCTTCGGAGTCGCTCCATCGCGCCATCCACCGGAGGGGGGCCATCGCGGCGTGCGCTAGTGACTGGCTGCGCACGATGGCGTAGCAGGAGGCGAGCGCGTCGTCGACCATAATGGTGCCTGCTTTGGTCATGGGCGCGTAGACGCCGCGCTTCATGACGACGCGCGTGTGGACGACGCGCGAGGGCCGCATGACGCTGCCGGGCCCGCGCGTGAGTAACACGTCGCCGACGTCCACGTGCGCCGCGAACGCCTCCCGCCAGCCGTCCGCCGCCGCCAGCAGCAGCAGGTGCGACGGTGTCGCCGTGATCGCGACCCCGTTCTCGGCTGTCACTTCGATAAATTCACGTGTAGTGTTCGGTTCTCTGTCCAGGAACGTTAACACCTGAAACGTTGAAATGGAGTTTGTTTAATTTTCAAAATCAATTACTATCTTTTAATCGTCAACATTTTCTTTACACATTTTTAATTTTAAGAAAGAGGCTAATTTTGTTTAATTCACAGGAAATTGTTTGAATTTGTTCGGTTGGGCTTTTACTTTAGTTTTTTTACATATCAATGATGTAAGGCAAAAGTTGTTCCAAAATTTAATGATAATAGCTAATCTTGCATTCAAGAAGTATTTTTACCATGATAGTAACAAGTTTTCACATACGAGTAAAAGAGGGACTTTTAGAATATGTAAATCGCTTAGAAAGGCTATGATTAAATACTTTAAAACTATATTCATACAACAATATTAGCACTTTTCGCATTAAAATTATTAATGTTATTTGAACAGATAATGGCGACTTTATGTACCCAACCGGTATACATACCTCTGAATATACTAGCTTGCCGGTGTCATCGGAAGCCAGAACTCTGTCTCCTTTCTTGACTGTCGCAATGTCCCGAGGACCATCTTCTGTGTGCACCAGTGCGCCGGACGGGAAGCAACCAGCGCCAGTACCCATCGACGATTCTAAAAAACAACCAAAAACCCCACATCAATACGTATTCAATTACAGCATGAAATGAAAATAAACACTCGAGTCAAATAAATTAGTTATTGAAACATGGAGTTATTGAATCGTCGGTAAAATATTAAATGTTAAGACCATGCATCAAACGGACATAATACGTGCGTGTCGTAACTACATAAAGTCCAACCAAAAGCAATAAAATAAAGTCAAGAACATAAAATCGTGCAAGGGTCGATAGTAAATTAGCTCGGAGCAGTCATATCCCTTTAAGGAATAACGAGATTTCTCTACGCTCGTAATTAAAATCCGATAAGATGCGAAACAAAAGAGAATCGCAGCCTTTTCGAAGCCAGGTTGCGGGGTGGGTTATCTCTGAGACTTTTGTATGCGGCACAGGTAATAGCTTACCACAATCCGTCGTGCGGATATATCGTTCGCAAACAATGGGAGGGATTCGAGGAAACATCTCTAATCATAAGCTCATAGACAAACTTTTTAAGGCGATGAACAAACTCAATCCATTTTGTGAATATTTTTTACCCCATTGTTATTCGGAAAAGTTAACAACAGCTAAGGGAGCGCTGGAACCAGACTTTCTGAACTGGTGTTTGTTTATTATCTAATAGTATTTATCTATCCTTATCCTGCATAAACTGTACCTGAGCATAATCTCCGACGCGATATTGCAAAAAGTGTCTATTTACGTGCACCTAAATAGTATTCAAGAGATAAGTCAAAACGGATTTCGCTTTAAGCTCCGGTGACGTGGACAGCCGCCGTTCGAGTGTGAGAATACAATGGTCCGAGGTGGTTTTAAGTAGCTTTCATAAAAAGTATGCAATTCGCCGCAGGAATCTCAGTTTTATTTACAATTACGGGGGTGGTGTAATTACACGCGTAAATGAACACCCAAGGTATCGGCAAACGCAGTTTGCGCGAGCTCGTTAAATTTTGATTTGTTGTGAAACCGACCGATAAATTCAGATCCCTGTTCATAAGCTGTTCACAATGGGCTACACGAGATCGTGTTACACAATAACCACACAAATTAGATTTCGTTTAAAGTCAAGCGCTTATTGTCGACATTTTGTTTGTCGCAGGGCGAACATATCACGATCCATTGAATGGATGTCGGCCACCTTTGCTATTTTTTCTACGCCCCTCTCGGCTTGCATGTTATTTATGCTGTGGGTAAATACACTTTATTTATTGACACAAATTTTGGGTTTCCGGGAACGCTGTGTTTAAATAGTCCTATCTAATAATTATAAAGCTATTGTGAAGGTTAATGTAGCGCGATTGTTGATCTTCGAAGTGCCAGAGTCAGCTGCATTTTTTATCGGTGAATTAAGCATGTTACATAATAAAGGTACAATTTTGTTGCGGCAAACCGCATTTCATAAATCTAACTGATATTAATCAACTCTATGATTGTGGTTTCATGTGTGGTTCATGCGCGATGTAAATAAGTAGGTTCCTACCATGTGCTTTAAGTAAACTTTTAAACTGTAGCTATAGAAATGTCTTTTATACTAATGCCTAATATATACTCCTCATAATGTCACATATTTGAAGCTCTTCATCCGATAATAGATAAAATATGACATGATGAAACTATGTATGATTCAATTCAAGTAACGTACACGTTGGTGATTTATTATCGCCTACGTTCAGTGCTCATCCCGATCGAATATAGGGTATTTTCCGCACAATCAACATTCCTCGTATAAGCTCCTAAAGCGTTAAAGTCAAACCGGTCAAAGTACGATTTCACAGTGACGTAACGCGGCCGCGGCCGAAGATGAGGCGATAAGAGACGCGCGCGGGGCGGGCGGGGTGCGGGCGGGGTGCGGGGCGCTGGGGCGCGGGCGCAGCGGAGTGGCCGCGCTGACCCCGCCCCGCGGCAGACCACCGGGGTAGCGAGGCGGCGCTGCCTGCCTGCCCCGCCGCCAGCGCACCACGTGACACTACCTCACTACCGGGCTTTGCCCTTGCAAAACAAAACACGGTATGCCAACCACTGCCTAATTGTGCCAGTCACTGAACATCCTCGTAAAGGACAGTTGTCCGGTGATACAAATTAAGAAGAATATAAGAATAGAATAGAAGAAAATAAGAAGTCCTTGCAAAACAAAACGCGGTGTGCCAATCACCAATTGAAACTATCACTATACATCCTCATATGTAGGACATGTGTCCTCGCAACACTTAACATTTGCGGATTTTTTGATAATTCACAAGGCAAACAAGCTTATAAGCATAAAGCAGTCCTTACTGAACGTGGTGTGCCAAGTTGTCAATCTCGATTTGTGACTGCAATAGACCATTCTCTTGTCACTCTTCAGTCTTTACAGCTTCAGTCTTTTCATGTTTTCAACTATTCACTAGGTTTTCTACTAGGCTGGCAGTATAAAGCTGACTTAGGTAATTATTAGGGTGCAATGCAGTTTCGGTATTAATGAAGCATTGAAATATTGCGAACATTTTCAGGATATGTAGTTAGATGAAATTTTCATGAAAAAATTGAGGATTGATTTGTAGTGGCTTATTATGTTGTAATACGTAGATTTCGTATTACTAAGTACTTGTTATTATCTTTAGTATTGTTAAGTCAATTCTGAAATAAATTGTTTACAAGTAAAAGGTAAGTTAAGTACGTTATATAATACCTAAGTCATTATGTATTTTTATCGTACTATAATAAAAAGGAGAAGAAAAATAATGACCTAAAAATAAAATAGTTTTTTACTACACTTGCTTATTTTCTCTTCTTTATCATAAACTTTTCATTAAACCTTTTCCTTACAATTGAGAAATCAATAAAAAATCAATGAGCGAAATCGGCGTATCCATATTCAAAAAACCTTCTTTTATATATGGCAATAATTTTCAATTTTATTTAAGTACTAGCTGAGCCAGCGAACTTCGTACTGCTATAAATATTGGAGTTGGTGGTACACGGGTGCAAAGTTAGGTTAAACATTTTTTGTCCAAAAATTTAAATAGAATTAAATGACTCTCATCACTTAAAAGTATAAAAAATAGTTGACGTACTTTTTTGAGACCTAAATATACTCACAAATTTTCATTAGAATCGGTCGAACCGTTTCGGAGGAGTTTTGTTACAAACACTGTGACACGGGAATTTTATATATTAGATATAAAATTCATTTCTTACTTATGCTGACATTTCCGAGGTTCAGTGTTCGATTCCGGTTAGGGTCGATACACAAAAAATCTTTTACACTGACTTATTTCACTTTTCAATAAACTATATTAGATAATATAATGGTGTGTTCTACAATAATGCTTGTACATTTATTTATTTTCCGTATTCGTATTGTGTTTTGAGAAGTTGGTTAAATTATTAATACATATACCTACGTAATTAACAAATCTAATAATATCAAAGCCAGCCCGAAGTCTATACAAAATATACCTAACGAGTACAAAAAACTTCCAACGACCAGAAGCTAAAATTAACCACAATTTAAATACAAATAATCTCAATTGACCAGTTACACTGAGAATATGTTATTTACATAAAGGAATATCGATATAAGGTGATGGACGGTGTTGCGAATGGCAAGCCACTGGCTATGATTCACGTGGCTGACATTGACTCGATATAATAACTCACGACGATTAATGTTGCACGACAAAAAATCGAGTTACATTCTCTTGTATGGCAATAAATATTAAATATTTAAATTGCACTTCACTAACCAGAATGATGGTCAAGAAAGAATACGCTTATAGCATAAAATATGCTTCACCTTACAATAGCTTGGATCTACTTTTAGATAACTTGTAATATATAATGTAATGGACATCCAAATGGCAATTAATCTAAACGATTTTTAAATGAAAAATATAATACCCGTTTTTTTTTATATTATACCGATATTATTCTACTTAGCAGCATAAATCTAATTAAATTTATAATGTATTATTTAAAATAAGGGTAACGTCAAATAGCGTCGTTGATCGTCCTTCAAGTTTCTTAAGAATAGTTAAATGAGGATAAAAGTAATTCAAAATTATGATCCTGACATTATCGCGTAATGCCTATATGTATGACGACATTTAAATATGATCGCAAGCACAACACTATGCATGCATCGCTTAGGTAGCGAAATGATATAGTGTGCGAATAACCGACACTGACTTTCTAATGTAATACGTATTTATGTTAGGATTACCATCAGTTACTGAGATATTGCCTATGAAAGTTATGTATGAACATCGGAATAATATATTCTGGCAAATGATAATCCAGTATGATCTACCATCTAAGTGTATACTACAAATTATGTTACAAGCTTAAATTATGGTGTGTCAATATTTTATCTATTCATATTAGTATTGATTTCTTAAGGTTTCCATTCTCAATTTTATGAGGGTACATTATGATATGTATAGTGATAGATATATATATATGATAGATATGTAGTATTCGATATTATGTATAGTGATAGACACTTTTATTTGTAAACAACTTATTACATTGGTAGGTAACTTAACAATACCACGGATATTTTTTTTTTTAATTATAGAAATACAAAAATCAAATTCAACTTTTAAGAGTTAAATAACAAAAAATGCTGATGTGAAAAAGAAATGAGAAGGGGCATATTTGTTCTAAGAATCGCAATTTCTACTAAACTTATAGTTGGGAATTCCTGCTTATAGACATTAGGAAACTGACAATTTATTATCATATGACTGTCTCCATCACTAAGATGCAATTTGCTGAGATTTTTACGTAGTATATTCCCGCTTAAGTTCGGTAGAGAGAGCCTTAGCTCACCGTGAGGGACTAAGTTGTGAGGATCTCTTGCCAAGAAAACTGTAAAATACTGATCTATTTAGTACAGCATTACCACACAAAGAACGTAGCCGCGCCCAAACAGAGAGACGGCTGAGAACATGTTTTTTTAAAGCTTGCACGGTAAGTGAATAACTGGAGAGTAGATGATGCAAGAGAGATCGGTCTGTTCTCTCAAGGCACCTGTGGGAACGGGCCCGCCGCAACCTTCCGGGATGTGACGTGTCGGGTGTCGGGGCGCTTTCGCACGCACGCATCAACGCTCTCCCGCGCCCTCACTTCTAGCCCTTTACGTATCGATGTGACATGGTTATTAAAAAAAAAGTTTAGCTGTTTTAAAAGTTTTTCCTTGCCTTAAAGTAGGTATAGGACTTCCTTATCGCAGTGGTAATAATGGGTCTCTTATTACTTACTCTTTAAGTGAGTCTGTATGAAAACGCTGTCGTTTTGTTTGAAATAGTTATGATTGTACATGTGTAAACAGTTTGTTTCCCTTACAATTTCATAGTTGTATCTAGGTACTATAAATAAAAAAGCGCCATAATATTTTTAAAGTATGCTTCCAATCTCCATCATCTACACGTGAATGCCTACGCACCACCATAGTCACGAAGTAAGTGTCTATAACATCCTTCAACTCGAAGTTAGCTGTAGTAGTAGATCGGATCGTAGTTACGAACAAGTGAGTACCCGACACCCGTATCCTTCAACTTGAAGTTAGCTGTTCTAGTGGATCGTGAATTCGTGACCCGCCGCGGTCACCGGTCACGCCCCATTTGCTGGCCCCTGCTGCCTGCCACTGTGCCCCATCGCATTGTTCTACATTGCTTTTAGCACATTTTAACCATTTACATACCAATGTTTGAAAATAACTTTTAAACTAGGTTTACAAAGTCAAAAGCGTTGACTTCGATGTTGACGCGTTGAAGTCTTTCATAGGTGCATATTAAGGTTTTTTAAAATTTATGTTTCATTGATTCATATAATTGTAAGATTGCTTTAGTAAAACTTAAGTCTTATCTTAAATTCTGCTTAGAAACAAAGGTAATAAAATCAGAATAAGTAAATTGTCCTCAAAGAGTTGGTTTGTGTATTGTTTCATCTTCAAATACAGATACAAATCAAAAATCGAGTGACAAGGAGAGATATGACAAGATGAGAAGATTAATTTATCATTATGTAACAATCAATTAGTAATTGGCAACTGGTATGCGTATTGAATTTTAATCATTATGTCTGTGAACAAGTGCAAATTAATTAATTATAAAAAACCGGCACCTGCGAGACGGGCGTGGAGTAAAGTGGAGACACATTACTATCGCCACGTGTTCACGGTATGTAGGCAGTAAGAACCCTCGTTCCATCATCAATTATTGAATTTAAAGTTTAAATCAACACCAACGGATTACGAATTAAAACTGGTCAAGTGCAAGCTGACTCCCACATGAACGGTTCCATGCAAGATTTAACACTAAAGACGAGCAAAGACATCTAATTTAAAAAAAATCACTTATAAATTTTATTCTTAGATTTTATTTTTACTTAGGGCACGTTGTTTCATATATAGTTAAATTTGACTATAATTCAAATACTAGAGAAAAAATAACTATCTGTCAAATTTTGACACATTTACTACATATTTGAAGTGATATTAACTCTAGACAGGCGTGTACCTTCCTAGGCCTCTTCATCGCTTTCCATCAGGCGAGATTGTGGTCAAGCGCCTTGCCTATTATGAATTAAAAAAAAAAACATAGATAAAACAGCGCGGCCTTACTATGTGCTGTTATAGCGGCAATATTACACTGTGTATTTTTTAATTATCTACCCAACACTTTATATTAGGGTATTGTTGTCACTCTAGGTAAGGATCCCTAAAAAGTATAGTAATTCAACAGCAGCGGATTTACGAATAAAAACCTAGCATAATCATATCTTACATGAAAGATAGCCGTGCGCCTACAGTAAAGCCACCAATGAGAACCAATTAATTGAAGCGATATAAAAACCAGCCTTAGTTTTATTGACTGAATCTCCACGTGATTGGTGCTTTACTTTAATGATTTTAGTATACGAGCCCCGTTAAAGACGTAGTTAAGCCACAACCTATCCCGACGGATATCAAAAAGATACAATTGATAGTAAAATTGTCGAATAAAATTTATATAATAATATGTGCTAGATTTAATGGGAATATCACAAAGAATTCCTTTTTAGTGTTGCCGAGAAGCCTCTTCGTTGACAAGATAATTTAATGTTATTCGTGTGGGCAGGAAATTGTTAACATTCTTACTACTTTGTGTTTTCAATATCGAGAAAAAACGAGATCGATATTGAAAAATATTCATTACGGTATTAATTTACAGTGAAATAAAGACTTTGTTAATATGTTTTTTATTGGGTTATAAAATCCAACTCCAAGTTTATTAAGGTTGAATTATTATTATTCAAACTAAATATTATATTACTTAAGTAGGTTTTTCAATATGAATAAAATACCGCACTTTAGAATAATTTTATTTAACTCCGACTGTTTACGGTCGACAAATGTGATTTATACGTATTCACTATGGATGGCCCTAGCTAAGGAATGCATTCTTTAATATCTTCCAGTCACGGAGCTCGTGCGCGAATCCCCAACATCGTCTGTACAGCGTCGACGGCGCCGGCGAGTGCATCGGGCTCTCTCGCCGCGCCGGCCTTGACCACGAGCAACGAGCCCACCATACATACGCGCACCCCATTCATTATTCATAAACTCCAAATTAATACTAAAAGGCCACGCTCCAACAAAACGCCGGAATAAATGAATAAACATTCAACAAATTGGCTGCCCGCGTCCGTCGCGGGTCATTCGAAACAATGAACCATCCGATCGACGCCGACGCTCTTTTGTTTTTGTATCACTTAAAAGCCTTCCCAATTTTCTTGTGTTCGATACATTACTTTGATGTGAGAATTTTATTTACCAAAGACAGGAGACATAGTTTATATCACGGCAAGTTATCCGCTGTCATCTAACTAAATGGCATTAAAAAATTCTCAAATAGGATTTATTTACAAGTCGCTAATTATGATAACGTAAAATGATGTATAATGTCAGCAGTGTTCCAAACTACAACAAAAGCTTCACTTTCATGACCTGAACGACTTGAAGGGTCACCTGCAAAATTAATCGGGACTATGCGTGGCGTGGAATGCCTCCACGATATCTAAAAAAACTCACGCACATATAAACAGTCGCTTCTCTCATCGTTATGCCGTACACACATATAGATATAAGTAGCCATTGAATCACCAGCGTAATTATAGAAGTGGGGGATTGGCTGCGATGCGGCCGTTGTGCGACAAGGACGGAATGGTTTAATAGGTCGGGTGCGAGAGGGAGGGACACTAACAAGAGGCTCGTTCGTCCGTTTGATCGACACCGCCGGGCGCGGGCGCGGGAAGCTGTCTGAGATGCATTCTTCTTGTAAAGTTCAACTATATATTTGGACCGTCCTGTGGGCACCGTTGAACAGTTATGTATACGTCACGCGATAATGACACTTTCCCGGTTTGAATAATATAAACACGGGTTTTGACCGGTTGCTTCTATTGAACTAAAGTTTTCCACAATATTTTCCACGTTTTTCATTAATTTATGTATAACGTGAAAGTATATATTCTGTATCGATAATATAACATTACAAGTATGATAATATATGTAATTAGAACAAAGATTTTAAACATTTTTTAAAACGTAAACCAAGCACTATAGAAAAGACTTCAACGCGTCTCGATACTACGAAAAGCAGTTTGATGAAACTGAATAACGATTAAGAACAGTAGTTAGTTTTTGCGTTATTAATCGAAACGTGTATCGTGGTTTAATAAATTGAATATTATTTTCTTAGAATCGTACTTGTGTTACTTAAATTAAAGCTTTTTTCTTCGACGAAAAATAGCGATGTCCCTGTGGAGCTTTTGACTTATGACGACATGAAGAGAACCAATTGTTTTCTACTGTAATATGAATGATTTTTTCCTAAAGTTATAATTTGCAAATAAAATTCATCAACCCACTGTCCTGATTTCATTCATTATTCACCGATATAGGTAGTAACAATTTATTATAAACCGACTTTTTTATATCGTTAAGTTTTTGAATAGATTTTCAAAGAAAATGTATTTTTTGTGTCACCTTTGAAATTAGAAAATATATACGTTTAATCTTTAGAAGAAAGATTAAACGTCTATATATTTTTTAATTGCATATTTTGTAATGTAAAAAAATATTAAAAAATCTTTTTTTTTGTTTAACTGCTAGGTTTAGTGGTATTTTTTTTGTTGTTATACAGCCAGTTTATGTAGTCATCTTTATTTTTGTTAAACACCCAATTTTGTAACACATCCTCACCTGTTTTGACGGAGCAGTGTATGTACGAGCGGCTTCTATAGTACACCCAATCGAAGCCTGCCTGGTATGCGAGCCGTGCCAGCATGCCCACCTTGCTGGTGTCGCGGTCGCTGGTGGTGATGTCCACCGCCCGACCCTCGTAGTGGAGCGAGTTGTCACCGTGGGAATTCTCTTCGTCCCAGCCTTCGATCACCCGCAGGTGCACGCCCGGCCACTGGTTCATCACGCTGATGGCCAGGGTGTTCAACTTCTCTTTGCATCTCTGGAATTTATACAATTATATAAATTACTCATTGAAAAAATATGATCTACATAAATATTATATAGAGAAATAACAGTGGCACATGTGAATGCCCGTGGCATTGAATCCGCCGTTTACTGTTTTGGTAATCCTACTATATAACATTATGTAAAAGTTTGTGTGTTTGTTACACAATCACGCAAACACTGAATAAATTTGGACCAAATTTGGTTTGCATATAGTTGAAAACCTGGATGGAGACATAGGATGGATGGAGACTTTTTATCCCGGAAAATATTAGGTTTTCTGTGGAATTCTCAAAAAACTTAAGATTACACCGACGAAGTCGCGGACGGCCGCGAGTAATGAATAAATAAACAGTTGGACATACAAGGTAGACTGCTTAAATCATTACCCTCCCTACAATGGAGTATTTCATTGTTTCCAATTTGCTACGTGGGTCTATTGATCCGTGATCAGTAGTCGGGTAAAACCAGACAAATAAGTAGCAATATAACGATGATAGCACGAAGGTAATATTGAAATAAAAACATACTTCTGATACAGGATGCTGCTTAATAATAAGACGGTAACGGCAGTTGGCAAAAGGCCGCAGTATGGCTCGTATTTTGGGCGCTTGCCTTTCAGACTACTCAAAAAGACAAAAGCTAAAGCATTATTATTATATTTTGCAAAAAGTTCTACTTATGTGCTCTGTCGACTAGATAATAATCGGTGTATATAGGTATTACTCATTTAAGCGATAGGTTACTCATTCTTCTACTGACTAATCTTGCAATCGCGACAACTACCTACTAAATCTATGAAAAAAAATATGAAAAGGTCGATCATGAGTAGAATCGTATGCTAAGCGAGAATTTTCAATAGCTCCTCCCCCAAAAAAGAAAGAGTGGGGAATGAAATAAGCTAATCATTAATAATCGAAGAGACTATAATTGCAATGTGCCAATGCCTTTTATTTGTATACTAATAGTACCCTACTAATATTAAAAATGTGAAAGTTTGTATGTTTGTAGTTCAAACACACAAAAACTACTAAACGGATTTGTATGAAACTTGATACGCATATATGACCTGGATTGAGACGTAGGGTACTCTTTATCGCGGAAAATTGTTAGGTGTCTGTGGGATTCTCAAAAATCTAAAGATTGCACGTGCACGTTGCACGTTATCAAAGTCGCGGGCGACCGCTAGCTTACTTATAAACCTCTAATGTTCTGCACTGTTATGTACGGCTAAGGATTAGTTTGAATGATTTATCATTGAGCTTACGCAATAAAAATGTTATGTAAAATTATGTGTTCAACATTTGAATGGAACGACCAATTCGAGTAACAATACCGACACTCCAAACATGCGATACCTTTTGTTTGCACCTACTAAGGAAAATACCAATACATGTGCTAACAAATCGACAAACGCGCCGCCCCACGACTAGACAACACAGGATGTCGGACATTCTGTCGTGAAGAAATAAATCAAATTAAAAACACACCGCACGAAGGGATCGACACAATTTCGTTCGTTTGTGAAACTCCGCGGAACAAATAGAGGAAATGTCAAAATATTTATAAAGAAATGCGGACAAAGCACGGCGCACCGCGTGTCGCCTTTGTGGTCCGGTGTCAACTCACTTTATGCAGATTTCATAGATAAAAAATTGTGAGATTGACGTAACGAATCGACGCGAACGGGCGCCCCGCTTGCTCGTCGCATTCACGTACGAGGTGCCTTCGAACACCGTACATAATTATTTCTACGAACGCCCCAACCACCTAATAAAGAGTTGGAAAAATTACAAAGCGTCCAATTCGCTAGCGATACTGAATTATCTACGGTGTCTTTTGACCAAACACAAGTACGAGCTTGTGAATGGTCCATTTTGAAATGATGCACAAAACTTCGGTATGATATTCTTAATAAAATTTATATGAGTTTAACCACTAAAAACGGTAATTCATAAATATAATGTGTGCATTTTGGACAGTACCAATAAGTTTATGTATTCCGTTAGCAGATACTGTCGGTCCGAGAAGCCAGGAAGCCCGTTGTTTGCTTCTCCGAGGTCTCGGTGCGCACTAAAACAATCGAATGCTAAATGCAACCTCAAACACTTCGTGCACTTAAACGTGGGAACCACTGGTGGCGCAATTAAGTATCTTGCACCCATCATAACTCCGAGATCCCTGCTTTTGTATTCAGTTTTGCTATTCGATGTTATAAAAATTTTGACCACATTTTCTTGTCCCTTCAAGTTCTATTTCCAAGAGCTTTTTATTTATAGAATGGAGTCGATCGATCTGTATGTAAATAAATGGGGATAAAACGAGTGCTTATTTATGTTTGTTGATCGCGTGAGCGCGTCTCGATCGGGAACAAGGCGTCGCGACAGATCGGGCGGGCCATTATAAATTCATTATGCATATTTTTAGTAAACAAGCTGTCGATCACAATGCTCGTACCCAGCGGGACGCCCTGCCCCCGACACCTCGCCGTTCCGCCCGAGCCCACGTACCCCAACGTCACGATTATCATCAGCCGCCCGAGACAGGCGCCCGATCTTGAACCAGTTTTTATATCCCCATACAAAAAACGTAAAATTATTTTTGCAAATTATCAAATTACACCGCACCAAAAGCTCATATTGATTAACAAACGAAACAAATACCCAAGGTCAAAGATTTGAAGCGAAACGGGGAGCTACCTGAACCGGTGGCGCTAGCGACCAAAGTACTCGTGGACACGTACTTAATGAAGGCCGACCGATGGAAGTGAAGTAAAAATAAAGTAAAAACGCCCAGGATCATCATACTGAAACGGCGTTCTGAGCGACCAGCCTCGCTTGAACGCTAGCTCATATGAAACGAGTTGATTTATACGGCCTCTACATTATCATGTATAAAATGGTAAGAAAATATATGACGGTTCCAATATATTAGATAAGGCGTTTAGCGAGCCGGGACCATTCGCCACCTCGCACGGCTCGACGCACGCTAATTTATTACCGCCTCCCTCTGCGACCATAACAATATATTAGGATAATTAAATGGCTCTTTACATTCCTTAACACGTCGTTTTTTTACAAGGCCACTGCATTCGAAAAGCACCGACCAATGCTGACTGGTTTTTGATGTTCCACTTTTTTTCTTTTTGTGGAAACCACAACAAATAGTTTAAGGGCGGTTTTTTGTGATACCGACCGTTCATTTTGTTCACGCGAACCGTCGTTCGACCCTATATGGCGTAACGTGATTTTGAGTTTCCTGCAAACATGTCAAAATAGCAATTATTGTAATATTTAACTTGACGTGAGAAATTTAAAGCGTTTGTATTATCGCCCCAAATAAAAATGAACAGAAAATGCGAGCTTTGCACTTTAAAATTTGTTCATAAATATACAATTTACATTTGAATTTACAATAAACAATAAAACCCCTCTGTATGGCGATTTATTAATGCAATTAGGTATAATCATGATAATGGAACCATCCAATAAATTAAAATAAATGTTGGCAAAACCATATTAATTCTATACAAAAAAATATCTGAAAAGACCATTTAAGTAAACCTGGTTTTGGCTTAATCGTATTTAGGTTTCTACCTGCAAAATAATGTGTTTCTAAAATGTGTGGTTGAGTCGGATCTCAATAACATTTCGGCGTAGCAAAGTATAATTTCGGTCGATAATACACCGCGTGTGTGAGTAACACCTTGTTTTTATGCCATCTGGAATATTTTCTCGCATTGGTGGATGATAGCTCTGGGAGGGACCACATCCTCTCACCGCTTTATTTCATTCACAAAATAGAAGCCACAATATGTGTGAATCACCGTCGACCATTTTGAATATTTTTCAAAGCCGACAAGAAGCGCTTTCATTTTCTCACTATAGATGATCATTTGTCACAGATAGTGCTAGTGACCAATATTATTACGTCAATTAAGTAATACCCATGTAAATTTATGGTAATCAGCCGATTCTATCCTGATTCGGCAGACAATTTATGACGCAATGTTACGGTAATACTAGAGTTTATCTATATTTACTTCATAAAAAATACATGTAGGCATGCTAATATACATTTTTATTCAATTACTTTCACATCAATCGATACGGATGATTTAGTAATAGAACATTTTTTTAAACTAGATAAGTTGATTGGGATTGTAAACTACACAATTATTTGATGTTAATATAAATTTAGGTTTCTATCGTAAAATTTAATATTGCTTTGCAAGAATGCTGTAAGGTTGTGCCTTGTATGCAGGTTAAATGCCCGTATTCAGCGATTTTTTAAAATTATTATTTATATATCGTTACTCATAATATAATATTTGATTGTATTACATCCATATAAAGTTATAGAGAATATACAAAACTGGTTTATAATTTTATTACCAGTGAAGAAAATATGAAAATCAGATAATCAATTATCTACTATAAGCTTAACAATTGACAGAAAATTCATATAAATAAATACAAGTACCTGTATAACTATTTATAGATTGAGTAATAATTGAGTTTTTTATTTTTTATGTGTACTTAATAGATGAAAGGTCATTGACTTTTTATAACATTCACAACTGCACTTAAAAAAAACAATTAAATATAATGCTTGTTAAAGTGACTTATTTTATTCTATTGCTATTGCCATGTGACAACAATCAACTTAAATATTTATTAACATCTCTGCGTATGGATAACATCTAATAACATTACAAAGACAATGCTTTAACACGTTAGCACACAATTGTCCCCTTATTAATATACGAAAGAATATAGGTAGTTACAAAAAGCAATCCTTTAAATTCCGTTCTAGTTACAAGGCTGTGTTACGCCAAGGTAATGAGAATCGTTCTGTACATAAGGTACATTTCAAAATGCGTGCTTTTGAATTTAACGTAGGTGACAAATATTACTAAGGTAGAACTATAAAACATTCGAGTGAGGTTTGCACAGTATAAGCAAGGCGTATAGATAAAAACAGAATAACAAAACT